CATTTTTTGTTATTCTTTATTGTTTTTTCTTCTGTTTCCTTAATAATTCTGCAATTTTAGTCTTTTTTGTAAAGTGAATAAAGTTGATAATTATGTTAATTATGTAATTTTTTGATCTCAAATTTAAAAATAAAGCTTTGTGTTAAGCAATAATTTGCGTTGTACTATTTTTTCTCTTGTAATTCGTCGATTTAAACCTCAACCTTTGATCCCAGAACCCGAAGAGGGGATACTCTTCTCCCATCACCTCAGCAGTCCAAAAATGGACTTCGTCATCGGCGGTGCGGCCGCCGTCTGCGCCGGCTTCTTCACCAACCCCTTGGAGGTGATGAAAACTCGAATGCAACTCCAGGGGGAGTTGAAAACTCGCGGCCACCACGCCATCCACTACAAAAACGTCTTCCACGCTGGCTACGTCATCGCCAAACACGACGGACTCCTCGCCCTCCAAGCCGGCCTGGTTCCAGGCCTGTGGTTCCAACTGGTCCTCAACGGGTACCGTTTTGGTAAGCCCCAAATCCAGTACCAAAATCACCTTTTTCCAAGGTTTGTACCAGATTTTGGACGACAAAGGCTATATGAAGGACCAAAAGGGGAATTTGGTGTTTTACAAAAGTGTGCTGATTGGGGGGTTTGCGGGGGCTTCGGGGGCCTACATCGCGAGCCCTTTTTATCTGATTAAGACCCATTTGCAGTCTCAAGCCTCCAAAGAGATCGCGTTTGGGCACCAGTACCACTACAAAGGGACGTGGTCGGGCCTTTGGGGGATTTTCAGGGATCAAGGGCTGAAAGGGCTCTTCCGGGGGAGTTTTTCAGCAGTACCACGAGCCTTCGTTGGGTCGACTTCACAATTGACCTCATTTGCGTATTGTAAGGAGTTCATGCGGAAGTATGGGATTTTGACCAACTCACCCCTTTTGATGACCTTCACGGCGAGTATGGTGGGAGGGGTTGCGATCAGCTTCATGATGACGCCCTTTGATCTAGTCTCCACAAGACTCTACAATCAAGGTGAGGGTTGAAATCACCACCAAAATCAAGACAAAAAATTTTAGGGGTTGATAAGGCGGGTCAAGGGCTATTGTACAAGGGTTACACCGATTGTGTTTTGAAAATTTGGAAAACTGAAGGGTTTTTAGGGTTTTATAAGGGTCTAGGGCCCAGTTATTTCAGGCTAGGGCCACATACCGTTTTATGTCTGGTGTTTTGGGATGAATTTAAGGAATTGTATCAGCGATTTAAATAAATTTTTAAATTTTATTGTCGTTTTATTTATTTCTCGAATAAGATAACGAATAATAATTAATTGATTGTCATAAATTCGGTCAAATAATTTGAACTTGAAGATAAACAAGTGAGTTTAGTGACGCAAATCACGATGTTTAGAACACAAATTGTGAGGTTATTTCAACTCACAACTCGAAAATGTAAGTTTTTTCATTGATTTTCAAGCACTAGAAATTAGTTTTTTGGCTTCACAAAGTATAATTAAAACCTTAACCTTAACCTTGTTGTATTAATTAAGTATTAATTAACAAAAAATTACCACAAAACTCTGTTTTTAGATTTGAAATCAAAAAAATAATATAAA